TATTGATTTAAGAGAGAGAAAGAGAGCAGGAGCAGGAGGGGCAGAGGGAGAGAGAGAGAAAGTCTCAAGCAGACTCCGTGCTGAGTGTGGAGCCCAACACAGGGCTCGATTCCACGACCTAAGCTGGATGCTTAACCAACTGAGACACCCAGGTGCCCCTCTACAGTCTGGCCTTTTAGAAGGATTTTTGGTTGAAAGGAAGTCCCCTTCCTCTTATGAAAGATGTGTTCTTTCATTGTCTGAGCCAGAGATGAACCATTGGCATAATCTTTTCTGCACAGGATGAGGCTTGTTTTCACCAGAAAACGAGTCTCTGCAATGTATTCACTTCAACATGTCAGGAACTCTGCCCTGGCTCTATCTTCCATTCCAGACCTCTTCCTGGGGTCCCAGGGTCTTACGGTCCCAGGGTCTGTGTGTCCTGACAGCCTAACTCTCACACCTGCCCCACCCTGCCTTCCCATCACCTCTCCCCTGTAACCACCGGATCTGCACCCAGAACAGCCCCCACTGATCCTCCTCCTGGTTGACCACATTCCCGGGTTCTGCTTCTCTCTGCCCCAGGGCCTTGGCTTAACCTGGGCTGGGACAGTGCTTGTCTCCGTGTCCTGACTTCATCTTTGCAGGGTCTATGTTTTCAACATCTCTCTTGGTTCCATCCTTTGCAGTTCATGGGCAATTCCAACCCCATCCTATTTTTCTTAGATTTACTGAGATGGGGAAATACTCCTGAGAAAATGTAAGTGAGAAGAACAGCATGATCTCAATTTTATAAAACCATTTGTGTGTGAAAGCATGGAGGGGGGAAAAAAGTCTGGAAGGAAATATACAGAAATGCTAAATAGTGGTTATTTCTGGGAGCTGGCAATATGCTCCTTGTATGAATGGCCAAGTTCACTTTTTGATGAGTGTATGACTTGTGCTGCCAGCATCGTCATCTTCAGCGTGGAGTCTTCCTCGGGGAAATTCTTGATTCCCTTTCGTTTTATATTGCTTTTTTAAATCTCATCGTGGCACCAATGTGTCTCGTCTGGTCCTAAAATACCTACCCAAACCAACGGTAGTAATAGCTAGAATTTATTGAGTTCTTACTATGCGCTAAGAGCTGTCCTAAGTGGTTTACATCATTGCCTGATTAAAAGCATACAGACTGATGCTCTGTCTATTCTTATAACCTCAGTTAATTCTCCTGACAATTCCACAACGTTGTTATTATTACTATCATCATTCTATAGAAGAAGAAACTGAGGTTTGGGGAGGTCATTCACCATGGGTACTTCAAGCACCGTAAGGCCAGGTGGGGAATTTGGCCAGCTGGAAAGTTCGTCCCCAGCTGCAGGGGACTGTTTTACGAGTGAAAATGTGGGACAGAGCTCCCCATTTTTTAAAAGAGAAGCTGCAAATGAGGCTTTCATGTGGCAGATCCTGAATTTTAAATTGCAGCAGCATACTGAATTTTAAAAAATACAACAAAATAGGCACTAAAATACTGCAGGTTAAAAAAATAAAATAAAACAAGCCAAAACGCCAAACAAAACATTCCATGACCCAGATTTGCCCTAGACATTATGTCCTTTAGAAGAACCAGGCTGGATGATGTCCTCCAGCCCCCCTGAAGCCCCAGATACTCTTTTTCATGCTACCTCACGGTACAGGGCTCTTTAGACCATGGATCAGCAAAATCTTCCTCGGCCAGATAGCAAATATTTTTGGCTTTGCTGTTTCTGCCATTTTGGGTGGAAGCCATCAACAAAGGGGCACGGTTGTGTTTCAATACAATCTTGTTTACAGACGCTGAAATTTGAATTTCATATCATTTTGTGCATGTCGTGAAACAATATTCTTCTTTTGCTTTTTTTCCAGCCATCTAAATATGCAGAAACCATTCTTAGCACAGGGGCTGTTCAAGAACAGGTGGTAGGCTGCTTTAGACCCTAAATACTGGTGACTGTTTCTCCAGGAGCTTCCGGTGTTTGCGGCTCTAAGCTCTAGGATCCAACTGCCCTAAACCACCTTGGGGAAGGCCCTTGTCACAAGCAGCTGCTGGCGTGTGTGTGTGTCTCCTCATTCCCACGTGGTTCTGACTGGTCTCTCTTAGTGGTGTCCATGTTTCATCTTCAGCTGAAACTTGTCTTCCCATGAACGCCTTGGTGGGGGCGCCTGGGTGGCTCAGTCGGTTAAGAGTCTGCCTTCGGCTCAGGTCATGATCTCAGGGTCCTGGGATAGGTCTAGGGATCACGCTCCCTGCTCAGCAGGGGAGTCTGCTTCTCCCTCTCCCTCTGCCCTCCCCCCTCCCCATCTAGTGTGCTCACGCACACGCTCTCTGTCTCTTTCTCTCAAATAAATAAATAAAATCTTAAAAAGAAAGAAAGAAAGAAGAAGGAAGGAAGGAAGGAAGAAAAGGAAAGAAAGAAAGAAAGAAAGAAAGAAAGAAAGAAAGAAAGAAAGAAAGAAAGAAAGAAAGAAGAAAGAAAGAAAGAAAGAAAGAAAGAAAGAAAGAAAGAAAGAAAGAAAGAAAGAAAGAAGAAAGAAAGAAAGAAAGAAAGAAAGAAAGAAAGAAAGAAAGAAAGAAAGAAAGAAAGAAGAAAGAAAGAAAGAAAGAAAGAAAGAAAGAAAGAAAGAAAGAAAGAAAGAGAAAGAAAGAGAAAGAAAGAAAGAAAGAAAGAAAGAAAAAGAAAGCCTTTGTGGTGTACGTCAAACAACTAACAATATTTGGTCCCACAACCACTGCCTTTGCCCTGCTCGTTAGCCCCCAGTGTAGATTATGGAAAAACCACGGTTGATAGAAAAACCATTGGTCCCGTTCATTGCCACAATCAAAAGCTGCCTTTGGACCACAAAATTATCTAAAAGCTGCCTGGCAAAGGACTTTGCTGGAAGAGAGTACAACTCACAATAGTGGTTAAGAACTTTGGCTTCGGAGTAGGGCAGACTTCCATCTGAGACTGCCCCTTATAGCTGTGTCCCTTCACTGAGGCTGTTTCCTCACCTGTCAAAAGGGATCATAATACCAGGTACCTCATAACGGCTGTTTTGAGAGCTAAAGAGGATAAAACACGTACAGGGCTTAGGATGGCACTAGGTATGTGGTATGGGCTCAGCGTGTGTGACTTGTTCTGATTTCTTATCCAGCTCGCCGGAAGGGAGTGGGGTTTATAAACTAAGAAGAGTATGTGAATGGAACTCTAAAATCTAAACAAGAAAGAAAATTAAGGCCTTTTTTTTTTTCATATCAGGGAGGAAGTTATAACTTTGTGTTCCTTCCAAGAATATCTTGGAGTCTGCAAGGCTTCTCTCCAGGACTCTTCCTGGTGCTGAGTCCATTCTTTGCCTGGTGAGCAGAGAATCAGAACCAAGGGGATGCTTTACATACAGCATCACATTTATTGGGAAATGCCTCTGGCTTGGAGCCTCCTTAGAGCAGGGGTTAAATGCATGGCACTCATTATTATAAGATAATTATTGACATAATAATAATGACTACCATCCATAATGCAACAGTGAAAACCACAGGCTTTGAAGCTTGGATTCAGATATCGATTCTTCTCCTTTCCAGCTGTGACACCTCAGTCTCTTCTGTGATCTGGGTTACCTCATCCTCACATGTCAGTATTAATAGCCCATACCTCCCAAGGCAGTGGACAAGAGTAAATGAGAGAAGGAATGTAAGGTTTCAGCTCTGCGCTTGGCCCACTGGAAGCATTTAATAAGTGCTGGCCACTATCATGACACACCTAGAGTTTTGCAAAAATTATCTCATCCTTACGGTAGCTGGGCTGAAATATAAGGCCAGATATGCTGTCATTCTGATCTGCTGTCCGAGATGCCACCCTGCCTCTCCCCCTCCACAACATGTTCTCAGGCCGGCCCAGGAGCAATGATGCATAATTCCACGCTGTGTTATGGTGAGGAGTTCTGAAATTGTTGTCATTTATAAGAACTGGCAGAGCCGTTAGCTGGCCCAGAGATCCGTTAATTGGCTAGTTAACAAACACCCACAAGGATTACCAAAAACCCAGAATGATTTAAGTCCAACTGATATGAAGGAAGAAAAGGAAGCAAATGTTGGCAGTTTCCCCAAGATGCACCTGTGCATTCTGTGCCTCCCGAAGGCATGGGCCACACCGCAGAGCACAGCCGGGTGTGACCAGGGGCGAGGGGACAGTCCTGTGTCAGATATGAGCAGGATCAGGGACAGTGGGCTACTCCTGAACCCATGCCCGGGGGAATCGACACCTGGGAATCAGCAGATCTTAATTGGAGCTGTGTGAGCTCAAGCAAAATCCTTACGTCCAGTTTCCTCGTCTGTAAAATGGAAAATTAATACATACAGAATCCATTTCCTTCTCCTTTTTTCCCTCACCAATTGTGGGGGGGTGGGGCTGGAACAGATAAGGCAAGACAGTCCTCATAATGAATGATTGTGTTCCATAGCTATTTGCTCTTCCTTATAGATCCCAACATCATTCAAAATCTAGGAAGCCAATTTTCTTTTCTTTTTTTTTTAAGGTTTTATTTATTTATTTATTTGACACACAGAGAGAGAGAGAGAGAGCACAAAAGCAGGGGGCGCAGCAGAGGGAGAGGGAGAATCAGACTCCCCACTGGGCAGGGAGCCCGATGCGGGGCTCGATCCCAGGACCCCGAGATCATGATCTGAGCTGAAGGCAGACAGTTAACCAACTGAGCTACCCAGGTGCCCCAGCAAAGCCAATTTTCTAGGAAGCGAAGTTTTCTGCTGCTTCTTCTTTCTTCTTTATAGATCTCAACATCATGCAAAATCTAGGAAGCCAATTTTCTAGGAAATGAAGTTTTCTGCTGCTGCTTCTTTTTTTTTTTTTCCTTCTCTACTTTTGTGCCCTAGGACAGGTGCTGATGGGCCAAGTTACGCACAGCCTGCAACAACCAGAGAAGTATCTTCACCATGGGGGTGAGGACCCAGGCTCACCCCAAGGTCTCTGGCTCCTCCCCCCAGCTCAGACCCACATTTGTTTCCACAGGGGCTTTCCGAGGAGTGTGCAAGAAAATCGATCACTTCCCCGAAGATGCTGACTATGAACAAGACACAGCGGAGTATCTCCTGCGTGAGTTCCCACTTCTGGGGTCTCCCCTAAAGGGGGTGGGGGTGGCCTGCAGTCACCCAGCTGCTGTTGAGGCTCCTCAATACCCACACCTGGAAATGGATACTTTCAAAAGAGCTTCCGGGGACCTTTGCTACTAGACAGAGACATTCAAGTGATTCTGACATCTAAGTCTCTTCAATGTCAATGAACTAGACATAGGAGGAAAAGTAGGTGAGTCAAAACTGAAAGGTTCTTTTTAGTCTGCTTAGGAGAAAATCTAAGGAATTTTCTTCAACTGGAAACAAGTTTTCACCTTCCCAAGAGAGCTGAGTTGAGGTGCTAATGGGTGAGGTGTTAATGGGTTAGGTGTTAATGGGCACGGTCCTAAGGGGCAAGCCCTGGGAGATTAAATGCAAACCCAAATTCGCCTCTCTGCAGTTTCAGTCCTATTGGGGCAGGGCCAGCGTCTTCCTGGGATTGCCCCAAGGTTGGTAACCTGGATATGACATGGTACTGTCACAAATGCAGCACATGGTGGGCAGCAGAGCGTGGGGGCTTAGTGCGAGGGCTCTGGGTTCTGGTTAGACCTGGCCTTTTATGCCCTGTCTGACTCTCTACTGGCTGGGTTAAAGCTGGGTACACTGCTTTACCTTTCCATCTCCCAACTATCCTTACCAAGTCAGAAATGGAGATGATAATGTCATCTATGTGACAGGCTCGTGAAAATTAAATAAGCTCATGCCATTACGCTCAGCCCAGGGCCCCACATGGCGTCAATGAAGGAATATAGGCTAGCCCTTTTTTGTTTTGTGAGACAACCAATAGCGAAGTCCAGCTGCAGATATGCACCTGACACTGATCCAGGCACGGAGGGACTTTGACATTTCATGTAATCTAAATGTAACTTCTTCAACAAGAATGTGTGTCAAGTTCACTCAAAGGGGAATTTCAAAGGCATTGACTAATTTATTATTAGGGAATGTTAAATGTAAGGTTTGCCCTTTTTTGTTTTTAACTGCTATTATAAATAAAAACTTCAAGAAATTGTCCTATTCAGATTATGTTGATAACTTGTAGCTCAAGAAGAGTGGTTTTAAAATTAGAACCGTTTGTAGCCCTGCTCACACCTGTTAGTCTGCAGATGTATGAGCCCTGAATCATATAACAATGTTAGTTATATAGTTATTATAGCAGGGTCAATTAAGAAAGTCAGTTTTAAGCTGATTTTTAAAACCTAAACATACCATTTCTCTTTTTCCAGTCCTTATGCAACTAGTAGGATTTACCCAAATGCCTACTAGGATTTGTGCCAGCAACTCAGAAAAATGTGGTATGGGGAACACAGGGCATATTTAGAGATGTAGCTTTGTACTTGGACCTCCTCCGAACAGCTTTAAAGTCATCTCCAGTGGGGTTTTCCTGAGTGCCCATCATTTTTCTTTGTTTTTCTTTCCTGCTTTAATGAAACATTGTGATGTTTGCCCCGTTGGAGGTGGAACACGAGCTATAACTTCTATTTCACAGCTCCCAAAACTGATTTTCAGTTCTTCCCAGAGGTGGATTGCATTTCTGACAAAATATTTTGCTCCCCTCTGGGAATGTGAGGTCCTCGCCCCCATCCCACGGTCCGCTCATAGTTCATCATTAGCCTCAGAACCAGGCTAAGGTTCAGGGGAGGTCTTTACGAGCACACAGATGTCCTGTGAGGGACTTTGGAATCCCCCACTCCACCACACAGAGCCGGGGGCACGTTCCCACAGGGCTCTCCAGACCCCTCCGATGTGTAAGCTGCCAGTTCCTGTTGTGGCCACACCATAGTGGGACTGGGACTCGGCACATTGATTTTTCTGCTGTTTCCTCGTTCTTGAGTGCTGTCAGGGAAGGTTACAGCTTCACCATAGAGCATAAGGTTCACTAGCCCACGCGTCCTATGGATGAGAGACGCCCCATAATATAGCCCTGGACTTGGCCAGGTCCTGCTCTGATGCCCATGGTAGAATTACACTGCAACAAACTGCCCTCCCCACCCCTAAGACCTCAACTTACCCCCAGCTAGTTTGGGGAGGAGAAACAGTAAAGGAAGGAAGGCAGGGAGGAAGGGGGATGGAGAGAGGGGGGAAGACAGTAAAACCTTTTTGTTCTGAAGCCACCTTGTGTCCACTGGGCTAAAATGAAAGTAGAGTAGATCACACCAACGCAGCAAAAATGGCAGAGGCAAATGTCCTGAGGCAGACACCTGCAGCCACTTATTTCATCTGTGGGCTAAAGAGTGGGGTCTGGCCACCAGTTGGTTGCCACGGGGTTACTGCAGCCAACTTCGCACATCTCATAGCCACCCATTTCAAATTTGCACTTTTATAACCAACGAAGTTCAATAGCGTCAAACGTCCATAATTATTTCCTTTGGGCATAATCATACTTTACAAAAAAATTTTTTTAACTACTCTTTTAATCGATTGAACTCATCACATTGAATATTCGAGCAATTCCTGTCAATACACAATGCAAATGAACGCTTTAAAGGTTTGTTCACGTTAGGGTTCGTTTGAAAACACTGGAGGCAGATCAACCCCTGATATTTGTGGGGCCCTGGGCTGAGGGTCCAAATGGAAACCCTTAAGTCATATATGTAAATATTGAGAAGTTATAGATAAGCTATGCCCACAGTCGGGCCCATGTGCCCACCCACCTAGGACCTGAGAGCCCCTCCTCAGGGATACCCCTCAACCTGGGGACTAAAGGAAGCGGGGGTCCAGCCTTTCCCAAAACTTGACCATGGAAGCAGAAGGATGGGAGGGACACTGTTATCAGGCCCCAAGTCTGCCCAGATCCCAACACTGGGTGATTTGGGGTGGCCGTCTTTAAGCAAAAGCAAGGACTCTTTCATTTTCTTCTCATTGAGAACATCACCCCCATGGGCCCTCAGACTCTCACCCCATTTTTCCATCACCCCTCCCAGGCAACCCTGTTGGCTAAATCAGCTACCAAACTTTCAGAAAACTTTTTCCGTGAGACCAAATAAAACACCAGCCCTAACATTGCAAAAAGAGCTTGGCAGTAGGCACATAAGCTCCTCCGTGCAGTAGCGAATAGAAACAGCAAGAGTTGGGTCACCATGAATATGGGGCTTGAAAGCCTTGAACTTTCAGCTTTGAAATTCCCAAGGCCAAAAATGAACTTGGGATCCTTCCTGCCGCGCCACCCCCACTCTGCACCTGCTCGTGCCCCGTGGCATTCTGGGTGGCACCAGGGGCTCAGCAGCCGAGCACCAGACATGGGCATCAGCTCCTCTGTCTCCCACAGCCCACTGCCAATTCTGGTGGCTTTGCCTTAGAAATATATCCTGAGTCCCACAACTTCTCGCCACCTCCAGCCTACCACCCCGGCCCCAGCTGTGGTCAGCTCAAGTCTGGCTTCCACGGCCCTTGTGGCCACAACAGCTCACCCCTTCCAAAAGCCCCACAGTGTTCAGTGCTCTCCTGTCATTATCTTGACATTTTTCATGATTTTGGAACAAGAGTCCTTGCATTTTCATTTTGCACTGGGTCCTGCAGATTATGCCGCTCTTCCTACCTGTCAACTTGACTGGCTTGGAAGCCACATGAGGCCAGGGACCCTAGTTCTTTTGTACACTAATGAACATGGAATTTGTTCAGCTGGTATATTCTGGTCTGGACATAGCAGGAAATACCCTTATACTGGTTGGGTGAATACTGGGTCCCCCACCATAGAACCCCTCCCCCAGAACCTTAGGGACCCCAGGACCCAGCACAGCACACGTACATTTAGTAGGTGCACAGTAACATTGTTGAATGAATAAACAAACTCATTTGTTCCTTCAGTGACTGAGCGGGTACTAAGTGAGGATTGCCAGACTCAGTGTCATGCAAACGTAAGTGTGTCCTGGGAAAGAGTCTGCATTTTGGTGAACAGCGTGTGATCTGATGGGGGTCTCTGGATGCAGGGCCAGCAACATAATTGGCAGGGTCCAGTGCAAATGAAAATCCCAGACTCTTCATTCAAAACACTGGCAAAAAAAAAAAGCTTTTTCTTTTCTTCTGTTCTCTCTCTCGATCTGTCACGGTGTCTTTCATTCGCTATTTCATGTCACACTACCGCCGGGGCCGGGGCGGGGCGGGGGGGGGGGGCGGGCCACAAGACAATAGGTGAATTCGTAGCTTTGCGGGTGCCTGGGGTTTGCACCTAACACTGATTCTTCCTTAGTCCATGCCCAGCCCCCACCAGGAAGGAAGGCTGCAGTGATCACTGGTTGGGGCAGGAGAAGGGGCAGCTAAGATCCCATCCCGGGGGGAGTGGGGGGGTGGAGAGCTGACAGATGGTGGGATTCCCCTGTGAGTCAAGGCTCCAAGCCCCCCACTGCATGCTCCGCTGGCCCATCAGACTTCACTGCTGAAACATAATGCAAGGGGCGCCTGCGTGGTTGACCGTCCCAACTCTTGATATCAGCTCAGGTCTTGATCTCAGGGTCGTGAGTTCAAGCCCCACATTTGACTCCATGCTGAGTGTAGAGCCTACCTAAACACACACACACACACACACACACACACACACACACAATTCAAAGACAAAATGATTAAGAATTTCAGGACGGTGACTGCAGAGTCTTAGCCACAAGCACAGGGCCCTGAGCGACATTACTGGTCTCACGCCCATGTTAGATGCAGGCTCTGTCCCGCTCGTGTGCTGTTTTCCCCTTGGGCACCGCATGCCCGGGATGGGTGGAGCCTGGGGCCCGCTGGGATGCAGGTGGAACCGTCTCCTCTTGTCTCCGCAGGGGCCGTGAGGGCCTCTAGTGTCTTCCCCATCCTCAGCGTCACGCTGCTGTTCTTTGGCGGGCTCTGCGTGGCAGCCAGCGAGTTCCACCGAAGCAGACACAATGTCATCCTCAGCGCGGGCATCTTTTTCGTTTCTGCAGGTGAGCATCTGGCCCCAGCCCAAGATCCTCCCAGACACCCAACCCAAGCCGGGGCCATGAGGACAAAGCAGTGCTATTTGGGGTTCCGTGCAGGGAAAGGGCGAGACAATACTCGACTTGTGTTAAGAATGAGGAGCCAGAGACTTTCATGAGAACCAAAGATGCTGACACGCCGGGAAGCTGTAATGGAAAGGCAAGAGGAGATGGGGGGCAGGGTCAGCTCAGAGGGAGAGAGAGGCTGATTAGTAAGAGAGCGTGTGTGACCCTGGAAAGACTGGGGTGTGAACCACGAGGGTCCACTTACACACGGATTTTTCGACAAATCCGTACGGTAGTGTAAATTTATTTTCCCTTCTTCTTAAAGACATTTTCTTTTCTCTAGCATACTTTCGTGTACGAATACAGTATAGAAGACATATGACATACAAAGTATGTGTTAATTGTGTCTGGTAAGGCTTCCGGTCAACAGTAAGCAATTAGCAGTTAAGTTTTTGGAAAGTCAAAAGTTAAACCCAGATTTTTGACTGTGTGGGGGGTCAGCACCCCTAACTATTGTTCGAGGGTCAACTGTCTATGCTTGCACAGAGGGGTCAGGTGTATGTAATGTGTGGCCTGAAAGACTGGCTAAGCGTATTTTTAATGGGGTCCAACTTTCTCTTCACTTGGATATGTTCACATATGTCTCGGGTCCTTTGAGACATGTCACAGCATTCCCAAGGGCTCAGATCCTCATATCGTTCAAGGCGTCCCTGGGAACAAGGTAAAAAGCCAGCAGCCCGGATGCTCTCCAGGAAGACCTCATAATCAATAGCTGGCCTGACCAGAAGGTGGCAAGAGTGATGAGAGACAATCTTAGTTCAGGAAGGGGTCCCATGCACTGCCTTCTCTCTCCTCCCTCCATCCCTAATCGTCCTCCACACGCCTCATGCTCTCTTCCCCCTGGATTTCCGTCCCTCCCCACCTAATAACAGTAGCCACTTCATGGTGTTGTTGGAAGGAGGCTGAACATAAAATGCAAAATATTATTTTCTTTTTTTTTTTAGTTTACTTATTTTTTACTTTGGGGGGGGCTCAAACTCACAACCCCGGGATCAAGAGTCACGTGCTCTTCTGACTGAGCCAGCCAGGGCACCCCAAGATCATTTTCTAGTACTGGAAAAGCAGCAACAATATCATTCCAAAGTCTGAGACCCAGCGTCTTACCCCCCCCCCAAGACCTTGCTCCCATTCCTTCCCCACTGTGTCCCCTTCTGGGAAATGAGGAAGTTGGATTGTATCCAGCTCTGAGTCGTTGGACACCAACTCCAGCAACAGACCAGGGAGGGAGCCACTATCTTGCCATGGGGATGTGGTCAGCCCAAACGTGGCCGTGGCCTCTGACCTCTGCCAACTGATGGTAACGCCTGGCAAACCCAGGGATTTGTGTGGCTTTGAGGCACTTTCTGGTCACCGGTGGCCCATCCAGACCCCCTGGGCTCTGACCCACCTGAAGGATAATGGATTGTGCTGACATTCAGGTTTCCCGTACAGGAGATCATTATTTTGTCCCCCAAGGGGGTTGTCAGGAAAGAGTGTGTCAGCAGCAACTTTTTACCTCACAAGGGATACTGTGAGAGATGGCAGGTGGATTGGACGCGTGGGAACCACGAAACATGCGGGACAGTGGCGAAAGCCCTGAGGGAAAGCCAGAAGCGTGGGGTCTATTCCTGGATCACCCCCATCTCCCCAAGGAACCCCAAAAGCCTCAGTTTTCCACCTATAAAATGAAAGTTTCAGAAGAGTCCACACTCTCTAAGGCTTTTTCTCGTTGAGCTATTCTAAGGATCTGTGGTTTGGGGCAAGCAATCAAGAACCTCTGATGGGCACCTAGTACCAGGCTCGGTTTCCCCATCTAGAAAAGAGAGTCAGGGGGCACCTGGCTGGTTCGGTCAGAAGAGCGTACGACTCTTGATCTCGGGGGGTCGTGAGTTCGAGCCCCACATTGGGTGCAGAGATCCTAAAAAAATAAACTTTAAAAGAGGGTTTTTTTTTTTTTTTTTTTTTACAGCAGGTCTATTGCAATAATTGTGACAGTGCATATTAAGACTTTGCACAGTGCCTGGCACATGCCCTATAAATCAATGGCAACCCCTTGGCTCCCTGCCTCATTTAACCTGGTCTGACATCTAAGTCTTTCTTTGAATTTCTCCCCCTCCTCCCACCCTATTGAGACTTCCTTTAGGGGCTTCCCAAACTTTACCACCCAAATTTCCCTGCTGGCAGAGGAGAAAGAAAACATGGCCCTGGGGAGTCGGGGCGGCGGAGGTGGGGGGGGCATCCGCAGAAGCCGCCTTCAGTGAGCTGAAATGTCTTTGAAGTCTGTCCCCCATTTACACTTAAAAATTCATGTGAATTCTGCTCTCTCCTCCTTATTATATGCATGTTCATTTTAATATAAAAGAAGGGTCTTCCCTACTAATCTTCAAGCCAAGTTGACACTCCAGAAAGAGGAGCGGTTTCTCATCCTGCAGTTTCCAGCAGCCTGACACAGGGCTGTCTGTCTATTTAGAAATAGCTCAGTGATTAGAACTCGCTGCCGACCTGCTGGATGCCTGCGCAGGATAATGCCAAGAGGAGGGGGGCAGAAGCAGTGCCCACCCCCACCCCCTGCATCCCCACCGCCTTCTAGAAGCAAGTCCTAGATGGAGAATGGCCAGAGATCATATTCAAATACTAACTCCCTTCATGCATGTGTCCCAGCCAGGTCAGAACAGCCCCGTGTCCCCTGCTCTGCCCAGCTTTAACCCTTTAGTTGCTGGACTGTGGGGAGATCGTGGGGACCTCCAGGAAGAGTGTGCGGCAGTGACGGAGCACAGGCGGCTCCTGGATATGGTTATTTACCAGCTGGTGCTAGCAACTGTGATGAGGGCCAGTCTCCATTTAGCATCACCTAAATTTGGCGACAAGGAGGTGCCCCTGATATACCAACCTCCCTGAGTCATTGTTGGTATCAAGGCCTAGATGAGGCCCTTGAAGCAAAGAGACATTCCACCTTTGGAACAATAATGTGAGAAAGGCGGGGCGCCTGGGTGGCCCAGTCGACTCTTGGTTTCGGGGCTCAGGTCACAATCGCAGGGTCGTGGGATCGAGCCCCGCGTCGGGCTCTGTGCTTAGCAAGGAGTTTGCTTGAGATTCTCTCTCCCTCTCCATCTGCCCCTACCCCCGCTCACTCATGATCTCTAAATAAATAAATAAAATCTTTAAAAAAATAATAATCACGTGAGAAAGGCTGTCAGAGATAATCACAGCCCCTGGGCCCTCAAGTTCTATTGTTTTCTTACCACTCCCTAGAGAATCAATTCACCTCCAAGTGACCATTTCCAGCACCTCTCCATTGGCACCTGGGGGACGCTAAGTCTGCACGCCTGGCCTGCTGCGGACAGCGGCTGCTTGCTCCCCAATTCCCGATGCTCAAACGACAGCTTATCTAAAGCATTATCTTATCCTGTGCAGATGAAAAGACTTAGGAAGCTACCATCCCTTCCCCTTGGGTTCCTTAGCTCCCCAAACCGCCGGGGCAGACCCATCTATGTCCACCAGACTGCTGCATTTATACTCTCCCTAAGCACGTCCAACTCCATGTATTCACATCTTCCCTGCTCTCTAAACCTGTTCTCTCTGCTGCCTCTTACTTTAGCTCAAGATGCCACCAACCTCCTCATCAGCCCAGCGAAAACCCTAGCAGGTCATTCTCGATCCTTTCTCTCATCCTGCACAATCAGTGTGCAGCCTTTAGTCTCCCAGCTCAACCCTATGCAATGTCCCCTTGTTTTCAAACCCCAGTGGCTTACCTGTTCTGCCTTCTTTTGCTCCCGAACCAGTTTTTATGTGTCTCTGGTAGAGCCCTTACTCTATTTTGCTCTAATTGCTTTTACGTGTCAGCGTCTCCTAACAGCGAGGAGCTCAGGAGCAGGGACCTGTAGCTCCCTCGTTTTACCATCCTCACGATTTAGAGCTGAAGATTAGGTTTTGATGGAATGAATGGCTTGTAAGGGAAAACACGTGCATCCCGAGCTCGCCCACCCTTGCTATAGGAATAGGGTATATTCTGTAGCTGAACGCACGCCCCCTGGGACCCAGCCGCCGCATCCCTCCTTTCCCCAGGGACGGACGGTGCAAGAAAGGCCCAGGGGTTGGATTTCTTGGCCATAAAACCATTCTCCTTGTCTCCCAGTTCCCTCCACATTTCCTACAAATCGTTCAAGGCTCAAAGCGACAGTTACCTCTGACGTGTATAAAAGACATATTTTTCTCTTCCCTTCTCTTAGGGTTAAGCAACATCATCGGCATCATAGTTTATATATCAGCCAATGCCGGAGACCCCGGGCAGCGTGACTCCAAAAAAAGCTACTCCTATGGCTGGTCCTTTTATTTCGGGGCCTTCTCTTTCATCATTGCAGAAATTGTGGGAGTTGTTGCTGTGCACATCTACATAGAAAAACATCAGCAGCTACGTGCCAAATCCCACTCAGAGCTCCTGAAGAAATCTACCTTCGCTCGCCTTCCACCCTACAGGTATAGATTCAGGAGGCGGTCAAGTTCTCGCTCCACGGAGCCCAGATCCCGAGACCTGTCCCCCATCAGCAAAGGCTTCCACACCATCCCTTCCACTGACATCTCCATGTTCACCCTCTCCCGGGACCCCTCAAAGATCACCATGGGGACCCTCCTCAATTCCGACCGGGACCACGCTTTTCTACAGTTCCACAATTCCACGCCCAAAGAGTTCAAAGAGTCGCTGCATAATAATCCGGCCAACAGGCGCACCACGCCCGTCTGAACTTGACCTCTGCCCTCTGGCCTCCGCCCCAGCACAGCCTCAGGGGCAACGTCCAGAGGTGGCTTTGAGGTTGCATGGCATGGTCCTCGTGATGGTATTACTTTTTACAAAGAATGAAACCAAATGGACTCAGCCCTCTCCCACACTTGGCCCCTAGCCCTCCGGGTCCCAACCCGCCCCCACCACCCCCACTCCCACCCCCCCATCCCACCCCCACCCCCACCGTTCCTTCCCGACTTTTCAAGCCAATCCCATGATGTCATTTCTCTCTCTGTGTATCTGTGCCACATGTTTTCCTCTCTTCCTTCTTTACTGGAAGGACCTGCACATTCTTCCCTCCTTGGAAGAGGACTTTACTCAAAGTCACGGGTGGTGGCTGGGGGTGGGGGCGTGGGATCCCCGACTCCCCAGGCGCGTGCAATTGTCCCCATTGCCCACTCAACACAAATCCTCGGGACACCAACCGCCCAGGTGGCCCTGAGGGAGGCATTCACCTTTACGTGTTAGAAAAACATGACCAGAAATCAAAGATGTCAGAGCCCCAAAGCAGCTAATGTAATAAGCACCCATGTTATTAAAGGTTTTGCCTTGTTGTAACCAACCAAGCTGGGGGTGTTTTGTTTCTTCCGGCTACTTCCTACACAGACTCGTTGCCTGCCACAGGACTGGCTCACCTCTGTGTTGGAAGCTGAGTTTTGCTCATCTTACTGCCGGGAAGTTTCCTGGCCATCCCATCTCCCCCCTTAAGACCAGCAAGGTGCCCCCACCAATGTCAGAGTCAGCATTGTCCCTCACCTGAGTCCCTGGAGGCTAGCTGGGGACAAGCGTGTGTTAAAAAAAAAATCTGGCTCTGGCACCCAGGAGCTCCAGAAGCTGGGGCGAGTCTACCTCACCTTCAAGCCTCGGTCCTTCTCATCTGTAAAATGGAACACGGTATAGCACCCTCCTCCACAGAGCCATGAGGTTCAAATAAAATGCCATGTGCAAAATGAGTAGCACATTGTGAATAATCGATATATGTAGTTTTAGTTTTTGGATGCATTCTAAGCAGCGTGAGCATTATCTGAGTCAGCTTGGGCTGCTATAACAAAAAAACACCCTAGACAGGGTGGCTGACACTGCAGACATTTCTTTCTCACCATCCTGGAGGCTGGGAAGTCCAAGCTCAGGGAGGGTGCAAGCAGATTTGGTTCTCAGTGAGTGTGGGGCCTCCCGATTGGGTGGGGGCTGGTGGCACAGGCCAGGGAAGAATTCACCCAAGGCAGAACAAAAGAGATAAAAGTTTATGGAATACACTGCAAGGGAGCAGCAGATAGGACAGACAGACTGTCTGCCAGGAGGCGGGGGTGAGGGACCATAGTCACAAGGCAGAGTGAAGGAGTATGGGGGCAGATGGAATTTTCCTTCCCTTCCTTGGAAATCTTAGGTTGGTTGTAAATAGTCCATTGGTCAGTTAGGGCCTATGGCTTAATGAGCCTGTTTGCATTCAGCCTGGTGGTCTCTGTGGGCCCTTTTGCCTGGCTCAACTTTCCATGGCTCGAGCCACTTGCTTAAAAACAGCCTCCACAGGGAGGGTTCTCCTGGTTTGCAGAGGGCCGCCTTCTAGCTGTGTCTCCACACAGCTAGCTAAGGACAGCGCTCTCGCTCTCTCTCTGTCCCTCTGTCTCTGTCTCTCCCCCTTCTTAGGAAGCCACTAATCCCAGCACCCGTCCCCCACCCTCATGGCCTCGCCTACCCCTCATTACCTCCCAAAGGCCCCTTCTGCAAATACCATCACAACGAGGGTTAGGGCTTCAACGTATGAATTCGGGGGGTGGGAGACACAGTCCACAGCAAGCATTATTGCAAGAAGACAGAACCAAACAGAAACGGTTCTATATTGGGGGGTGGGCTGGGAGCAGGGGCTCTGAGGGCACTGGGGGAAGAGAATGGAAGGACATCTGAATATTTTGAATACTCCATACCAAAAAGCATGAGCTCAATGTCACCTCTGCGGAGGCTGACTTCCTGGAGTGTGTTTTGGCCCACACCCCGCTGTTCCCCACTTCCCAGCTAGCTGTCCCATCTAGGGTTCTGGTTCCTGCAGAGGGCACGGGCAGGGTTCTGAGAGGTCATGCTTACCTCTCGCTGCCAGGTGTGGGGCTGGGTTCTAGCACTGTACACATCCACCCAGGGATAGTCCCGAGTTTCCGAGGATGAGAGGTTACATTACTCGCCCAGACTTCACCCCCACTAGGGGCCGGGAATCCCGGGAGCGAGGCACCTGCCCGCACCCACGGGGTCACTTTGATTGCCCAGTGCAGACTCCCGCTGATTCGTTTCTTTTAATGCTTAAGAGTCATTGTGTGCAAATCACACTCACATCAGATGATCTCCTTGAATCCTTAAAACAGCCCTGTGTGTAGTAGGAAATACTCTTCCCATTTTGGCACGCGGGGAAAGGGGCTCAAAAGAAGTGTCTTAGGTGCTAATGAGCAGAACTGGCATGGATGCCCCACCTCGGCTCCTGAAATTGAGTGACTTCTTCATCTTCCAGCATTTTCCAAACCCGTCATCAGGGTACTACAACCCTTGCGACGTTTCTCATAGGCACACACGTCGACAATTATCTGTCTAATGTTTTTCTTTAAATTGACTCGCTTTTTACTTCAATAAATGTATCTGGTAGTGAACGTTCTGTCACTACTTCAAAAGGAAAGCTAGAGTCGCGAGCCATAGAGCAAGTGGCAACAGGGAAAATAAATACAATGAAAACAAAACACTCATGCCGCCTTCTAGCTACTGCCTGATCTTTGTAAAAAGGATATAACCAAAGCTGTTAGGAAGATGTTCAAGATATTCTTGCACCAGAGAAGAAGCTTCCTTCGGCTTAATCGGAAGGATCCAAGGAGCGCTGGGAAAGGGAGTAGCTTTCTCACTATGGGATCAGGTCCCATGGTCTCATCCCTCGTCTCGGGAATCGGGTCTCCAGGCACCCTTGGAGAGGGAAAGATCTGAGAGATGGAGCAAGTAGGTGATGAATCCTGTGAAACGGAACAAACGGCAACCTATAGCCCTGGCAATCAGGACTTTGTCAAAAACAGGGCATCTGGGGGCGTGCCTGGGTGGCTCAGTCGGTTAAGCGTCTGCCTTTGGCTCAGGTCATGATCCCGGGGTCCTGGGATCGAGCCTCACATCGGGCTCCCGGCTAAGCGGGGAACCTGCTTCTCCCTCTCCCTCAGCCTACCGCTCCACCTGCCTGTGCTCTCTCTCTCTTTCTCTTTCTCTCTGTCAAATAAGTAAATAAAATCTTTAAAAACAAAGAACAAAAAAAACAGAGCATCTGGGGAAGCTGATGGGGATGGAGAGAAAGTTCCCAGGGGCTTCACTAGGTGGACGTCTGCTCTGGACCAAGTACAAAAGGCCAGAGAGCAGGAGGAGAGAAGTAGGCATCTGATCCCTGGAAGGACCCCCTGCCCACCCCTCCCACATCCCGCACCATCTAGGTCTGCTCCCTGCATGGTTTGGGCAGCCTCAGAGAGCTTTTGCTTGAAGCCTGCTCAGCTGGACCTAGCTGTCTGGCACCAAATAAATATTATTACCACTTGCAGTTTGCAGCCAAGATCCCGGCCAACCCTTGTCATTTGAATCCCTGTGAAGGGTATTCATGGTCACTGGGCCCCCACTCTGTGTGCTGCATGAGGTAGGTACTATTGTTAAACCCCCTGGATAGATGCTGAAACTTGCCAAGAGACAGCAAAGCAGGTACTCAACCCCACGTCTGCCCAGCTCCAAAGCATACGAAAGAGCCACTCCCTAAGTTGGGCCGGTCACGCTTCTCAAATCTCTTGCTCCGTTACTGAGATCCTCATCTTCTCCCCCAGATGCAGCTCTGTTTACCAAGGAATATAAACAGGGGGCTCTAATTTTGATGGAGGCTCAAGGAAGAGGCGGTGGCATTTACAATCAGACCTAAAAGAAGAGTTAGAGTTAGCCAAGTAAAAAAAGGGACGTGTACAGGGAACAAGAGTAGCATATGCAAAGGCCCTGAGGCTGGAGAGACCCTCCACCCCCTCCCCCCACAAAAGCCTGCAAGGCTGGAGCTCAGAGTGAGAGGGAAAGTAGCATCAGGTGAGTCTTAAGAGAAAGCTAGATCCAGAGGATGTACATTAGAAGCACGTTAGGGATTTTGAATTTGAACCCTAAGTACACTAGATACAATCTAATATGTATTTTCAGAAGTCTAATGTTAAGTGTCCAGTGAAATACTCGTTTCCTAAATCTTACCTTTAGAAATACTTCACTAAGAGCTTGTATCATTGCCTGCTTTGTCCACAGTCTCTAACATGTGGACATAACAATGAATTGGACATGAACTTGCCTTGGAGTACAGTTGGCCAGATCACAGACTACACCTGATTTGCAGCTAGCCAACGCTTTTTTTTTTTTTTTAAGATTTATTTATTTACTTTAGGGGGCGGTGAGTGGCAGAGGAGAGAGAATCTCAGGCAGACTCCCTGCTGAGTGTGGATGCAGGGGCTCAGTCTCACAACCCTGAGATCATGACCTGAGCAGAAACCAAGAGTTGGACGCTTAACCCACTGAGCCACCCAGGTGCCCCATGAGGCTCGCCTATCTATTCATAGGGTGGCCAGTGGCCTAGGCTTACCTTTAAAAGGTAAATTGAGCCAATCAGACAATCTCTGCTGGGAATTCTAACCAGGAGACACAGAAAACAGTTGCTAGTTGGCCAGAGGGAGCAGAACAGAAAAGGTATAAGGAAGCCTTAGGACCCGGGCAGCAACAGTGGGCCAAACTCAAGGTAAAAAGAGGACAACCCTGCAAAGGCTTCCCATTGTAGGTAAATAAAATCCAAATTTTTGCCATGGTCTCCGAGGTCTTTCATTATTGAGACCATGCTAGTCTGTCCAACTTTATTCTGTCACTTTTCACCTTGCTGCCTACTGTCCAGTCATGTGTCCTCTCTTTTCAGTTCCTTGATCCAGCCAAACATAGTTCTG